GATTAGGCGGGTCCAACCCGAAATTCATTCATATTTTTCGTGTCAATTTTAAATTGATCTAATTCTGACCTAAACCTCTTTTTTCTCAATTCTAACCCGTAATATTCGTGTTGTTACTTATATTACTGACACTATCTACATGCTCTCTAAATTTTGTGTCGGATACTATAAAATTTTAATATAAACACAAAAAAAATCAAGTATTGATGTAAAAATAAATATGGAAAACTAAATTCAATAATTAACTTTTTTATGTTTCTTAAAAAAACGACAAATATTGAGAAACAACAAAATTAATTAATAACAATTATTATCAGTGATTAAAGATGAATAATTTCACCGTGTAAGTTTCTTAAAAAGAAATTAATTAATTTTTTATGTGTTTTTTTTATAAATTTAAACTACTGTTAAAATTTTTTTATTATAATATTTTTTCTTATAATATTTAACTTTTTATGTTTAAATTTATGAAGCCCTTCATTTATCAAAAACGACAATTACTGAGAAACAGTAAATTAATCCAGCAGTTACACGTGACAAAAAGGCGCCTGTCACGAGTCATTGCTCATAAGCAGCACGTGAGTCTGGCCTCTGCCTTTTCTTACGCAGCTACGACCTACGCCTACACTTCCTTGGCCAACTTTGGCACGACACTGCGTTCCGTACAATGTCATCTTTTTCCACATAAAATCGGATTATCTTGTCAGTTTCATTTTAACCACCGCAAACTATTGACGTGTTGCTATATTATTTGTTAAGTAAAACAAAAGTCAACGCCCCTTCATGCATCCCACGATAATAGGACGCACCCAAGTGCATGTGATACAAACGCTTAAACTTTGTTTTTTCTTGTCTAATATTTAATTAACGAACTAACTACCTCTATTACCTTTTGACATAAGATAATCTTTTGTATGTATATAATAATAACTGCCTCCACCATCTTAACTATGTAATTATTATGTAAGTCAGCATGCAAGGAAGTAGTGGAATTACAAGTTTATCCTTCCATGTCATCACTTTTCTTTTTCTTTTTTTTTCTTTTTTTAAGATTTAAGCTCCCATGATTTTTTTTTAAGAGTTGAGATTTAAGTTTGTACCGGTTAAATAAATCGGCTCCAAACCCGTTATTATTATGGAATTCTAGAAACAAAGAGTGAGAAGGTTACCTTATGATTGATTTTTGAATGAATTTGTTGTATTTTAAGCAAAAATCATTTGTATAACTTTTTTTTTTTTTTTTTTTTTTTTTGCCTTTTGCTTAAATGAAACCAACCCAACATGGTTGATTCAAAAGAACAATAAGTAGGCACAAAGAAAGATTATTGAGCGGGACAGCTAGACATATTGTACAAACGTCATGGTCAATACCATAAAAACATTTGATTTTGTCTAATAGATCCAAAACAGAAAACACCAAAGGAATAAATTTATAGCTTTTCTTTCTCTCTCGTTTTTTAACCATCCTAGAAAATTAATTCAAACTACTGACTTTGAAAGCTTTCATTACACTTCAAGAAAAATCAATGTGTGTTTTAAGGTGGAAGACAAACTATAATTGGCCTTTAAGGTCATGTTATCAAATTAATTAATTGATCATTATTTTTTTTATTTATATATATATATATTTTTTTTTTATAAATACTCAATTTTCATGTCCTTATTTTCTTTTTATTAAATGCTGAGGACATCGATCAAGAAAGTCAATAGGTAAGTCACATATTTCTAATTATTTAAAAAACATTTTTAATAGATAAGGTAGCCAATCAATTGTGTATTCATTTCTCTATCTAAATCATATGTCTAAAAGTCGAATTGAGACTTTGATAATTCACATGTTATTCAGACAAAAAGAAAAGGGGATAAATATTATCAGCAGGTTGACATATATATAAAACTGGTGGTCGTAAGTTGTTCTTTTTTCTTTTCTTTTTATGATAATTGCTGGTTATTACTTAGATTAGTCAAACTATAATCTAATAGGGTATTTACCATAAATATCTAAAATATACTATTTACGATAAATACTTTAAAAAATTGCATCTATCTATTATATGATTACTACTATAAAAATGTAAACATTCAAAATTCGTCTATGTATATATTTATCCAATCAGATTCTCATTTTTATAGAATATAAAATATAACTAACATATCTAAACTAAATAATAAGTAAATTTGCTCTCCATAAAAGTCTAATTATACTGAAAAATCAAATTAACATGTGCATGTGTTACAGTCATGATAAAACCCCCCGTATTTTTTAATATACCAGTACTTGTGTGCAATTACTAAAAGGATGTACGGCTGATTAGAAGAAAAATAAAAAAAAATAAAAAATAAAAAAAATAAAAAATAAAAAAAATAAAAAAAAAAAGGAAAGCTAAAACTTTTCACGATTGGAAAGCACTTTCATCATGATTAAATAGTTGGGTTTCAAAGCATCAATAAGTGGGAAAAAACAGGTAGAGCTGAAAAGATACAGAAAAGATGCCTTGGTGAAAATGTCCATATATAGAGAAGGGTAATATAGGGAAGCAAGGACCTTAATTATTGGGTTGAAAATCATATTTATTATTCTTTCTTGCTTTGAAGGGTATCACAGCCATGTCTTTTTATACAAAAAGAGGCACGTACGTCACCGAGTCCCAAAAATTAGAATATTTACTTCCAAGTTCTGTAAAGTCAGGAGAGTTCTTTGATATTATGAAAGACAAAAAAAAAAAAAAAAAAAAACTTTTAGACAATGAATTTTTTCAAAACTATCAATTTTTTAGCCTAAAAAAACTTCAAATTTTTATAGGATTTTATCAAATATAACATTGAGTTTGATAAATTTTTTAATCATGATGTAGTCTTAAAGTATCTAAATCAAACAAGTCAATAATTTAAATTTAAAATCAAAATAAATGACTTAAACGCGTGAACTGAGCGGACCATAAATATTCTTTATATTTTACTGAAATGTCATGTTTCATTGTGTGTTTTACATTGTTAAATTTGTCTTGTCTTTGTTTACGGTTTGTAGCTTCCGGCCAGTTTTTTGAGGTTAAGATGTTGATGATCTTGAGTCTATGTATGTAGATGAATCTTATTTTCATGTCACTTATTATAGGAGCTTTCTTCGTTGTTGGGTTAGAAATGCATTTGTATTCCCGAGTAGATCTAATAAGCCTGCATAGATACTGTTTTTGTAGTGTACTGTGTTAAAGAGTTTGTAATATGTCTTGATCAAGATCACAAGTTATTTGAATGTTAAAACAAGAAAAATACGTGTTAAGGGACTTCAAAAGTGCTGTAGCGAGTTTATAAACGTTGCAGCGGACAAACTGCACAAAACTGTGCAATTTAGTTCGGCCAATATTTTGGCTGCAGCTGAAATTTTTCCGCTGCAGCAAAATGTTTGCATTGCAGTGGAAAACTTCGCGCTGCAACACCCTTTTTTAGGCCTCTCGGGTCCGTTTGCGCGCTGCAGCGGGAAAACACCTGCTGAAGCGGAAATTCTGCAAAAAAACAATATTTTTATGAGGTTATGTGATCTGAAACGTCTCGAATCATTACATCAATTGGTGATATGTTTTCATACATATCTGCACACCAATTAACAATACATATAACTATTACAATATGTACATTAATCCATGAAAAGATACATTTACATTGAAGATGTACCTTTATGTGAATAGTTGTAATGTTTAAAAATGATGCATTCATTTATAGAATGACACCTGTCTTTATTAATTATCTAGAAAATTTACAAACTTAATTTAATGTTCTGGAACTCAATATTATTGCTAGATATTGTTGTATCTTGAGGGTAATTTGCTATTAAAACTCATTAGTAAATTTTAAGAAGTGAGGACAAATAAAATCTTAAAAAAAAGTATTTATATACGTCTCAAATTCTCTGTGATTTTTTGCATTCTTTTCACCATCTACACTTAAATTTTCTAACATACTGTATAGGTGGCGTTTTAATAATATGTTTCGCCTTGATTAGGGAAAAAAAAAAAAAAAGAAAAAAAAAAAGAGAAAGAACGGTTTTTTTAACCTGGGATGCGGCGTTCCATAAGCAGACAATAAAACATTGTAAATATTGGCATGAGAAGTTCCTCAAGATTAAAATATATGCTTTGTGATATCACTTGATAATTCAAAAACTTACATTATTATTAGAAATTAAACAAATGAATGTTGCATTGGGTACAATTACGTAAAAGCAAATCTTAATTGTCAACGAGTAGTTTTATCATAGAATTTTAAAAAGTAAAAGAATAGAAGCTCCATTTTCGTGGGCAATTTTTTGGACACTAATGATTTTTTTTGGATAGAGAATCTAACGAGAAAGCATGAAAAAAATGAAAGAACCATCACATTTGCATCCTAAAAGTTCAATTTTAAGTATTTTTATTTTTATTTTGATGTGATCTTAATAAATCTTTTCTCATATAAACATGCTAACAGGTATATCTAATTAATATTTATAAACGTATTAAAAAATTATAAATTCTATATTTTTAAATATCTAATTTATCAAAAATATTAATTTTAAAAAACTTTACCTTTTTGACTAGTTTTACTTCTAATCTAAAAGGTAAAAATACATAAATTAATGTCTATTTAAAAAAATATATTTTTTTAAAAATTGCCCTAAACATGCAATAGAGGAAGTAACGAATTTAAATATTGAGTCTGTTTGGTTGGAGGATTTATTTTCTAATTTAAATTATAATTCATAGTTCGTTATAATATTTTTTCTTAAAAAAATACACATAAATCAAAAATAGTTCTAAGTTTATAATTCTAATCTATGAACCAAACAAATGGCTCTCAAAAACTTGAATTAGGCTAGAGTACATTAGGAAATTACTTTTAGGCCCTTGGTATATCCTGTGGTCCGTAACAGCCGATGGCAACTGTTCAGATGTCACAGGCACCCCTTTCAGGAAACGCACTTAACTCTCTCTCTCTCTCTCTCTGCATACACTTACAGCCAAAGAAGAAGTGGGAATAAGAGGACTTGAGGGGTCTCTCTCTCTCTCTCTCTCTCTCTATACTTACAGCCAAAGAAGAAGTGGAGAAGAGGACCAAACTAAGGAACCAACACACTCAAAACTCAAAAAACCAATATTTCTTTTGTGCACTACTTGTGGTGCATGGTAAGCAAAAGCAAGCCAAGGATCTTCTCTTTTGGGTGCATTATGTTTCATCGGCAATTAATGATGGTGCTCAAGTCAAGATTTTTAATGCCTTCTCTCCTTAATGAAAACTCTCTATTTCTTGCTAAACTTTTTCTGGGTTTTTTTCTCTGTTCTCTTTCTTTTTTTTTTTGTTGGTCTTTTTGGTTTCTAATTTTCTATGCATGCACGTCTCGTTGAGTTGCTTTTCTTTTCCTTTTCTTGTTGAGTCGTTTCACATTGATGACTCCTCAGGCTTTTTTTTATTTTTATTTTTTTATTTTTTTATTTTTTTATCTTTTCTTCATTTTTGGCAAACATAATTGCCTTGTCTCTTCCTTCTGTAAGTTTCTCTCAGATCGTACATGGAAATTTTTTTTTTTTTTTTTTTTTTTTTTTTTTTTTTTTTTTTTTTTTTGCGGAATAAGCTGATCGTCAGCAATGAATTCTCTACACGACAACAAAATCTTTCTATCAATCTTTCTCTCTCTCTTTTTCCCCCTACATGTGCGCGTTATGTGTTGTTATAATAATGAACTAGGACTTTCTTTTATTATAATTATTTCTTGTTTTTATTTCTTGGTTATCTGGTTTTCTTAGCATAATAGAAACTTTGCACTATTTTGTCCAAATCACATATCTTTGCTAAACTTAACATGGGTATGAACTAATTTTCCAAGATCAATTTTTTTTAGTAAAACACACTCAATTTGCAATGTTGTGCAAGCTCATCACTATCTCTTTTGTATGTTTGTTAATTGTTATGATTACCATTTTTTTTTTTTTTGGTTTGAATTTAGAGATCAAGATTATATATAGATCAAGCAAAAAATGGTTTTTCTGATTTGTGGCATCATCATGTGGATGATTATATGCAGATTAATTAACTCCTTGCTTGGTGGCCTGAGAATTAAACGATGCCAAACCAGCTATGGTTTGCACTGCTAATGACTTGCAAGAGTGGAAAGATTTCCCTAAGGGCCTTAGAGTACTTGTGCTTGATGAAGATCGAAATTCGGCTTCCGAGATAAGATCAATGCTTGAGACAATGGATTATATTGGTTAGAGAATATTTTGTTTTTAAATCTCATTTTGGTCCCATATATTGCTGTTTTCGTTTGGCTCTCTTTTTTTTTTTGTGTGGAACTGTTCACTTTCCTAAACCAGAAAGTAGTGTGATTCTTTTGTCAATTCTCTGTCTTAGTGCCCATATCTTTTGTGAAAGTTTCTTTTATGTACTAGTAAATAAGTTCGTTTTAAAAGGAAAAAAAAAAAAAAAGGAAAATCAACTTTTTAACTTTTTGGTTTAATTTTTTGGGCCTATATTGTGAAATAATTGCCATATTCCTTTTTGTCTAATGTTTTGTTGCTACCCTTATTGATTTTTACGAAGCATTTTGATATCTTTTCTAGTGCTTTTGAGCTTTTATGTATGATAATTCTCTGGATCAAAGATAGAAAAAAGAAAAAAGGTTAAATTATTTAGTTTTGATCTCCCAAGCATTTTATTGAAATAATTGAATATTTAAGGATATTCTATCCCTTTTCACATCTGTCCATTTGTAAAATCAAAGTTTCTGTATAGAATAATGAAATGCAGAAAATTTTATATGATGTTAGATCTTTCAAGCAATAATCTTGTTTTGCTTGTTGGAAAAATTGTCAAGTTCTGTTGTGGACATTTAACATTTGTTTTTCTGCAGATGTGTTTGTATGTGTGTGAGAGAGAAGTGAGAGTGTTTGTGTTAATTGCTTTTACCCTCTCTGTGTCTGTTGCAGTTTCTACATTCTGCAATGAGACCGAAGCATTGTCGGCATTTTCAAGTAAACCTGAAAGTTTCCATCTTGCTATAGTAGAGGTGATGAGCTTTAACTTAAACAATGCCTTTTCCATTTTTATCAATATTATATGCTTCCGTAAAACATACATGCTAAAATGCAGTTTTCGGAGGGATGAGCAAAATGATCGACTGTTTCATCGGCGTGCATTTTTTGAATTATGTGTTTCAGTCAATTCAACACTGCAATAAAAGCATAGAATCAGCAGATGGACTTTAATCAAGTGCCTAACTACTAGGTTCCTTGGTTAATCCTTAAATCTAAATTTTTGGTTGTGCCTGTTTTAACTATGGTTATAGGTGAATACGAGCAACGGAAATGGGACATTCAAGTTTCTTGAAACTGCTAAGGAATTGCCAATAATTAGTAAGTTTATATACATGAATTAAAGATTTTAATTTATTTCTTTTGTTTCATTGCAAGACTCTTATTAGATCTTTCAAATCTCCAAGATCATGTAAAAATGACGCGGGAACGAACTCGACAAATGACTATTTTCTTTCTAGAAAAGTGGCACAGTTTCTAACATATAGCTTCATAATTTTCTATTACAGTGACTTCTAACATTCAATGTTTGAGCACTATGATGAAGTGCATAGCGGTAAGTCATTTGATTTGGCCTCTTATTTTACAAATTCTACATAAAGACTGCAAATTTCTATTATCTTCATATAATTCTTTTTTACTTTCAAATACTGAATCACAACCAGTATCTGAATTTTGCTTTTAGAATCCGATGAGTTAAATCACTAAGATTATCACGATTTCAATTGAATGAGTGGTTTGATTCTTTTTAATAGTTCATGCATGTCTATGACAATCTATTTTCAGCTCGGTGCAGTGGAATTCTTGCGAAAACCGCTTTCTGAGGACAAGCTTAGGAACATTTGGCAGCATGTTGTTCATAAGGTCCTTGAACTAGTAACATATGTCCCAATTTTCCATGAAAGTGTTCTCAAAATTCCGTTTTCTGATTGTGTTAATGCTGAGCAGGCATTTAATGCAGGAGGTGGGGTTCTCTCCGAGCCACTCAAGCCTGTCAAAGAATCGCCAGCGTTCATGCTGCATGTTGACATGGAAAATGGAGATCCCGATAAGAAAATTTTGAATGAAAGAGAGAATTCATCTGAGATTCAAGAAAATGATCATGAGCAATCAACAGGAAGTGATAAGTACCCCGCTCCTTCAACCCCGCAGTTGAAGCAGGGAGCTCGGTTATTGGATGATGGAGATTGCCAAGATCACACCAACTGCTCCCCTGAGAAAGAGAGTGGAGAGCAAGATGGTGAATCGAAATCCGTCGAAACAACATTAGGCGACTCAGTTGCTGAAGCTACTCTCTTAGTGGACCAACCAGAGATGCCAAGCAAGTTAATAGTCAAAGAGGAGGAGGAATCTGTAGATGGTACTAAGAATGAGAGTAACATGTCTTCTAAACTAAAACACGGTGACAGCCAAAGGAAGGTTAATGGTAGTGCTGAAAATCCGACTAAAGCATCGGGTCTGAATAATTCCTCTCTGTCTAAATCTAACCGGAAGAAGATGAAGGTGATCTAAATAAGAAATTTGTGACCAACTTTTCTTTTCTTAGAAATTTAAGTTATGCCATAGTTTAGTTTTGACAAATAGATTTCACACTATGAGTAGTTTTCTGAGTCATGGAAACTCCTATTAACTTTTTTATGGCTATTTGATCTTATCTCCCGTAAACTCTACTTCTCAAGATATCATATGATAACTGTATCCAACTTGTAACTGGATGTGAAATTGACATATTTGATAGCACTTTTTCTTAGTTGGGTTTCCATAAATTGAGTTGGAGATGCTGGATCAGCTGTTCTTACAGAAATTATAAACATGTCTGAACAGAATTCTCAAAGAATTTATTATAAGTTTCTTTGATTACCTTTTCTTTTCTACTTTACATGCTCTGATTCCCTCGTTCTGTGAACATATCTAGTACAATTCTGTGAATTATAGGAAGCCTGTTTGAGTTATAATCAGATTAGTTTGTCATTTGTGATTTTTATTTGTGAATCCATTCCTGGTTTCAGGTAGACTGGACACCTGAACTGCACAAGAAATTTGTGCAGGCAGTGGAGCAACTGGGTGTCGATCAAGCCATTCCGTCTCGAATACTCGAGTTGATGAAAGTTGAAGGCTTGACAAGGCATAATGTAGCTAGCCATCTCCAGGTTGGTATTTCAAATGGCTCTTTTATACTCATTGAGACCCTATGACAAAATAGAATAATTTATAGGTGACAAAAAACTTAGAGCTAATGCATGCTAGAAGACCTCTCAGGATTCATGGTTTTTGTATTTGGCTGCATTGACTAATGAGAAACTAATCAAAAGTAAAATTCAGAAGAGTTTTTATGATGAGTTTACCGAATCGATCATTTCACTTGTGTTCTTATCTTATTAGACGAGTAACTAATGTTGGTTGATAGAAATATCGAATGCATAAGAGGCACATCTTACCCAAAGAAGACGACCGAAGATGGCCACGACCACCAGACACGGTGCAAAGAAACTATTATCCTCAGCAGCCCATCATGGCCTACCCCTCGTATCATTCTAATCACGCTGTACCAGTTCCACCAGTCTATCCTATGTGGGGACAACCAGGGAGTCACCCAACCGGTGTCCAGGTGTGGGGCCCGCCTGCTTATCCTCCATGGCAACCTGCAGAAAGTTGGCATTGGAAACCTTATCCTGGGGTAATGTTGCTGTCATAACCTCCTACTTAACTAACATAACCAATCATAATGTTAAGCTTATGAAATGGAGAAGCAGAGAATCAAGATCGTTAATTATGCCACGTCTGATTTGGTATTTGCATTTCAGATGAATGCCGACGCATGGGGTTGCCCTGTAATGCCACCTCCTCACGGCCCGTATGCTTCTTATCCTCAAGTGAGTATAAAAACAAAATCTTCTTTACATTTTTTTCATGCATGTATGCATACTAATCTTGTTTCTATCCTCATTACTTTAAACTGCAGAACGCATCAGGGTTCCACAATGTAGGCGTATTCGACAATGGCTGCAACACGCCGCATAATTCTTTTGACCTTTATCCGGTAACATTAGCGCTTTAAGCACATTGTTCTCAAATTTGATGTTGCATTCAGTTTATGAGTAAATATGCGGCAAACATTGCTTTTATCTATTCTCGAGTTGGACGAGCTAAAAGGAGGCTCTATAGAGTTTTCTATAGCGCTGAGGAGAGAGAACACTAGAAGCAGAATAGACAGTTTTTGTAATTTGCATTGTTTCATCGGAGTTTTCGACGTGTGTGTGTCTAAACATTAGCTTATGTCAAAATCACATCAAATAACATTTGACATCACTAAGCCTTCTTTGAGTAATATAATTGTGTTGCTTTTCTTGTTTTCTCATGCAGGCAGAGGAGGTAATTGACAAGGTTGTAAAGGAGGCAATAAACAAGCCATGGTTACCCCTCCCTTTAGGCCTCAAACCTCCTTCCGCTGATAGTGTTCTATCTGAGCTCTCTAGGCAAGGCATCTCCAAGATCCCACCTAATCTCAACGGCTCAAATTCCATCTGTAAAGGCACTGGCTCCAATCATGGATGAAAATGGACGGTCCTCGTCAAAAGGGGTAGTTGGTACCATCCAATCAAGTTCATACTCCGCTATTAGCAACAATTTTGTTTTTGAGCGCAAGATTGGCTTGATGTTGGGACTTGATTGGTGGGGACCAGCTACTTTTCCTAGTCTTGGTTCCACTTGATCAGAAAAGGGCCCCACCAACCGGACAGTGAAAAGTCAGTCTGCCAGAGATGTGTACAAAAAAGTGAAATGGGTGAGAATATGAGTTGATGAACAAACAGACAAAGATCAGGTGAAGCAGCTCTATGTCTGTGAACGCATGGATGAACGGCTGGGAATTTGCCACGCATGTGAATTTTGTAGCATATATCATGGGAACTTTTGGCTGTAAATAAACCCTAGGTGGGACCCACATGGGTTTGTAACTTTTTTTTTATATTTGTTACGGGAGATTCTCTAATACATATTACTTAGGTGACGTTTGAAAAGGAGATTTATGTTATGATTTAAATTATAATTTATAATTTGTTAAAATATTTTTTCTTATAAAAAAGACACGTAAAATAAAAATAATTTTAAATTTATGAATTAAACGTTCTTTTAGTGTTTAGTATGAGAATTTATGTCATAATTCGTAATTCGTTATAGTATTTTTTTTCATAAAAAATACATAAATTAAAAATTATTTTAAATTATAATTTTAAATCTATGAATTAAACGTTTAATTTTTAAACGTTTAATTTTTTAATAGTTAAATTTGTATATTTTTTTATTTTATGTAAATTTAAGAGATAAAAATGTGACTTATTAATATGTAGGTCCCATTTCTTATCCTGTTTTTGGGACTGAATTGAAGGTGATGGGGAACTCCCTCGCGTTGGTGGGTGGGTGCCAGTGAGAATAGGTGTCTAATAAATGAATGCAGTTGTGTTGTCTCGTTGGACTTGTGAATAAAATTGACACAGCCTTACCAGATGTTGACTTCTTATTTATCTTTTACTCTTTCTCGATAGAAAATAGAAAGGACTTTGTCTAGTAAGAGTTACAATTAGGGAAAAAAAAAAAAAAAAGAGTTATCAGTCATTTTTTATTTATCTGTTTTAAATTTTTTAATCTAATATAATTTTAAATGAGATCTAAAAATCATAAATTAATATTATCAGTAGAGAAGTTTACCGGAGAAAAGTTTAAAATATAAACTCTAAAATTACATATTCTACTTTCTTAAATACTTGATTTTTTAAAAGTACTCATTTTAAAAAATTTTATCCCTTATCGTTCCTTCTAGTTTAAAAGGTATAAATATATGAGCTAATGTTAAAAGATTAAAATAAAATAAAAAGACTCCATTTTGAGAGTATATATTTCTCTTATTAAGGGCTCATTTTGTTCGTGCTTTAGAGATGATAATCGTGAAATATTAGTTTGAAAAAATATGTTTGTGAAGAAAATTTTTCTTTAAAATGTTTTCGAAATCTTTCTTGATTGGTGAGTTTTGAGATTTATGCTTGGAGAAAACAATGACTCCAGGAGTTCCAATTTGGTGCTTTTATGAGGAGTGGAGTGATTTATCAATAAACATGTGATTTATAACGATTAATATCATATTTATTTTATTAATTTAAGTTGAGAATTTAAATTAAAAAATACATTTATATAAAATAAAATACTATAATATAAATTTAAATTATGATTCGAACTAATAAAACAAACGGTCCTCAATATACACAATTTTCTACAACGCAAGTGATGTAAGATCCCAACTTGACAGTAGACGTAATTTTCTTTTCAAGGACCAATCACGATTTTCCAGCAAGCTTACGTAGGACTATATTTTTTCAGAGAGTCTCAGGCCCCGTTCTTTTCGCTGATTCGAGTTTTGCTACAGTAAAAAGCTCTCAGAAACAGTCACATCAAACTTTTTACTACAGTAAAAAGCTTTCACACAACATCACATCTCAACTCAAATTAGCGAACCGAACGGACCCTCAATTCTCCGACAATCTTAGCCAGCCCAATGTTTTGGAGCCATAGATAAGACAATCTAAGTTGTTTTTCAACAATCCTAATGATTTGTTGACGAGTCGACACTGGTCAAAATTTAAAAAAAAAAATATAAGACACTTTTAAATGTCGCATAAAATATGTTTCGATGATATACATGTCACAAACATAAAATGATGATTTTAAAACATAGTTAAATGTGTGCATCGTGCGCCAAAATAGTAGAGAGAAGTACATTTAACGATAATTTCTTCAGTATTAGTCGTTAAATGTATAAAAATCGTCGTTTAATGTTGAAAATTATTTAGAACCTATAGAAATCGTTATTAAATGTGCCTCACGGACAAAAGTTTTTTTTTTTTTTTTTTTTTTTTTTTGTTTTATATTTGCCCCCCGCGAAAATTTTTTTTTTTTTTTTTTTTTTTTTTTTTTTTTCAACGGGTGCCTATATCCTATGTATTAATTTTGCCTCACATCCCACAAATGTTATGCTAGAACTTAGTTTCTAATATTAAGGATAATATTTATAATTTAAAACAATTTCCAAGCAATAAATGTACGTACATAACTTCCCCACTCTCCTCTAAGCTTATTCATCTAATAATAAGTACAGTGTTGAATTTTGCCAAACTCTTGGAAGCTGTCGAAGATTGTCCCAAGATGATCCACAAAGAAGTCGGTAAAGGAAAGTTTTGAATTTTTTTTTGGAGATATTATTATTATTATTATTATTTGTAAAGGGACGACATTTCCAATATAATTGTGAGAAAGTTGTCCTTTATAAGAGAAAAAAACCAAATACCAGTTAAGGTAAAAATAATATTATTTATATCACTTTAATAAAAATTAAACAATTCTAATTCAACTAATAAAAGAAAATAAAAAGTCACAATCACGTTTAATTATTTAGAATGACATAAATTATAGTTTTATAAAAAATCATGTTAATTTCTTCTTTTATATTATAATTTTCCAATCTTATATAATTATATTAATTGAAAGCCCAAAGTATTGTCATGTTGGACACTGAGAGAATGAACCAAGGTCCATGCCGTACTAACATGGAATAAGCCTTTCTATTCAAAAGCTTGTGGAGAAATATTAATAGCAGCACTCCCTGTAAACCCCTTAAAAAAAAAAAATAATGATCGGATCTTCCCAACATCATGAAATAGCCTAACTTGAACTTGTATAAAACTTCGTAGTTCTTCTCAGACCATCTACAATATAAATGTTAATATAAACACTATGTTTAATACTTAAAAAAAAATATAAAAATAACATATTTGATACGTTATTCTATTTTATGTAAAATGAAAGTTCAAAACATCAACCAAGAACAGTCATGTACCAGTGTTTGATATATGTTTAGGCACAAAGTATAGAATTTCACATGCGTTAATTTTAGCATTAAAAATAATACTGCCATGGAGAGTAATTTTTTTCTTATTCAAATATTAAGGCCCGTTCACTTCGCTGATTCGAATTTGTAATTCAAGTTGAGATGTGATTTTATGTGAGAGCTTTTTACTGTAGTAAAAAAGTTAGATGTGATTATTTCTGAGAACTTTTTACTATAACAAAACTCGAATCGACGAAATGAACGGAAGTTAGATTTTGACATTGACAAGATGCTCTTTTAACTTTTTAAGCAACAGTTACAAACATAGAAGAAGATGACTTTTCTCAAAATTATTTTTGTGCTAAGAAAATGAATATATCAATTAATTTGAACCGAGTTTAGGTTCATACTAAGGACTAGTGGCGAAGATCGGAGCCAAAAAAAAAAAAAAAAAAAGGAAATGGTGAAGCTACTTCCTATTGAAACTTTTTATTTTAATTTTTTGACCCTTAAAAATTTCTTAACACTATAAGAAAAATTACAACTGTGTGCTCACTCAACAATTAAATTCCTATACTCATAATAATAATAATAATAATAATAAATAAAAAATAAAAAAACCTATCATCTCGACTTTGCTTGACTTGTAGTTGGTTGTCTTTGACCAGCAGTAATGTCAAAACGACTAGGGCTTAATGTAACATCGTGGCATATTCTCCCGTGAAAGTTTGTTTAAAGTACTTGGAGTTGTTTGGTTGGAAGATTCGTACCCCGATTTAAATTATAATTTGTGGTTCGTTATAGTGTTTTTTCTAAAAAAAAATACACATAAATCAAAAATGGTTCTAATCTCATGATTCTAATCCATGAACTAAACATTATATTCTGTAAGATGTATAGAAAGAGGAAAAAAAGAGAAGTAAAATGCTTAGGTGAAATAAGTAAAATAATTTTTTCTCATATTGTTTAGTAAAAAAGAAAGAAAAGTTAAAAAAAATGTCAAATTTAAGACATTTTATAATAATGCCGCAATACAAATAAAAATATAATTAATAGTAGTGAAGGTTAAAATTATTATTTTACATCTCATTTTTTTGTCAAATTTTTTTCCTCCTATTTTCTTCTCAAAGTTATAAAAATTAAAAATTATTTGGCCCATAAATTTTTATTTTATTTTCTTTCTCATTTTCTCTCTACTAAACAGCTTAAAATTTTATTTTCTTCTCTTTTTTTCACCCTACCAAACACACCGTAAATTATCATAATTATTCTCTCTCGTTTGTTCTTTTTGGGATTTATATGTTAAAGTCAGACTTGGACAAGCGCCTTAAATCTAGCAAATTTCCCCAGGTCCCACCAACACGTTAGAAACATGAAAAGTCATCACAAAAATAAAAAGGTAGGAAAATGAAAAACAAACTACGACATGTAAGATTATAAAAAAGACTTCCATTTAAAATTATAAAAAAAAAAAACCCAATCAAAAGCTTATAAAAAATGTGAAAAGGAAAAGTTGATAAAGCTAAGCGGGCCATATTGTACCGTCCCATTTATTGTTTTCAAATGGGAGCTGTTAGTTGTGACTTGTCTGTTATTTTTTATTTTTCTTTTTTTCTTTTGAAGAAAATACTTGTTTGTGAATTGTTACTTTGTGAGTATGTCCGTGTCAGGTTGGGCCTATATTATGGACTTATATAGTTATATTTTTGAGTTATGATAATTTGAGTGTAAATTTTGAATTGAATTTAAATTATAATTTGAGTTAAAATTATAACATGAGTTAGTATTTAGATGTGCATATTTGAGTTATGATTTGAATTGAGAATCTATTTGAGTTTGTGTTTGAGTGAGTCAAAACTTAAATTTATATTTAGATAGTTTTTTTTAATAAAAACTCAATGGTGATGAAAAATTTTAATAGGGTATATGGATTGGGTTTTATTCGTCTCTTCGTTGTGAATGCATAGAAAAAAAATCATCTCAATCAGAATTAAAACGAAAAAGTTATGATGTTTTTAAGAATATAAAAAATACTGTTTATTAACTTAAATTTGAGTTTAACAACTTAAATTAAAGAGAAAATTTAAACTCAGATTTTAATCTCAAACTCAAATTAAAACTCAAATTTTACAAACGAACATAAACTTAAATAAAATTATATATTGAGTTTAAACTTTGTTTAAATTTTACTCTAAAAGAACAAGTCTATCGCTCAAAAGTCTTTTTGGGTCAGCTTGATCTGAAGTACTTATTTATTTTTAAAAATTCTCCATATCTTGAGACCTTGAGCTTTAGAGCAAGGCTGGGGTGATCTTCTTCCCTTTAGGGTCAGACAGAACCAATCTAATTCTAAGTTTTCATTCGGACTATTAGGCTCAGACTAGATTGCCTAAACTTTCAACTTTACCTTATGCGCGTGTAGCTACCCTTAGCCTCTTAGCCCTCCTCTTTTAAAAAATAATTATAACAATAATGATAAAAAAAAAAAAAAAAAAAAAACTAGTTGTAAACCAGTTATCTGGCCACATTACAAATAGGTTTACAATATGAACAAATTAAAGATGACAATTATTGTCCATGTTACAAATAAGTTTATTGTATGAATAAGCTAAAGATGACACCTGAGTAGTGTACAAATAACGGGTAAGTTATTGTACAAATAAGAGCTGCATAGTACCTTGCCATTCATTATAAATAGGGAGTTAAGATATGCTTCAGATGTAACAATTCTAAAAGCGAAAATAGTAGAAAATAGACCAATATGAAAAATTTAAGAAAGTATATATGTCAGCTTTTACTTATAGAAATTAATAGGTCATAACTTGTCAAGTTATAGTTCATAACTAAACAAGTTATGGACAAAAACAGTAATTTAGCATATTTATTAGCTTATGTAAACTATTGGCCTATTAATTTTAATGCATCTCAAGTTTTGACCTATTTTCCTATTTCTCCCTTCTAAAAATTGAATGAAATCTCTCTCTAGTTTCTCTTACTAAAATTTATTTAGGGAAAATTCCATATTGATACTATGTGTTTTAACGTAATCATTTTTTAGTATCTTGTATTTTTAATAATTTTGCATTGATACTTTAAGGTTTTTAACAATTGTTTTTTGATACCTTGAGTTCATTTTTAGGAAATAAAATATCATTTTTACCCTATACTTAATTTGCTCATAATTTATTGTTATAAATGTATTTAAACAATTTAAAAACTTAGAAACTCTGATTTCATCATCTTGCTCATATGCAAAACATCAATAAAAATTATAAACTTGAACTAACGAACTAACAACTTTATCAAATTGATGGTTTAAGATACGAGATTCACACATGAAAGGCAAAATTCTTAATTTTTTCAAATAACGTCACGTGCTGTAAATCTCGTGTCTCGAATTGTCAAAGTGATAATATTAACAACTCTTAGACTTCAGTTACTACTGACTTAAAGTTTAGGAAGCATTTTACAAGAATTGAAAGTTCGGAATCTATTATGCAAAAAAGAATAATTTAAGATGTAACAATGCAATTTACTCTTCCAAATATGTAAAAAGAGTATTGTTTTTTAAAGAGCTTTGAAGAATATGTGTTATTTCATTTTGTCTCCTAAACAAAACTCTCCCAAAACTTGTTATAAGTTAACATTTTAGTACTTTAGTCATTGATATGTCAAATGCTTAAATGGTCCAATCACTTGTTAAGAGTAGTTTTTTTAACAGTTTTATCAATTATGAACAAAACATGTTTAAAGCTGTTAAAAATTTGGCACGTCAATAACAAAAGTATCATGTTGCAGCTTTATAATAAGTTGGCCAGAGTTTTGTGCTTCTTCTTCTTCTTCTTTCTTTCTTTCTTTCTTTTCTTTTTTTTTTTTTTTTAAGGAAAGTGAGAAAACACATATTTTTGACCAAATTTAAAATCAACCATTTCCTTCATATTATGTCTCGCTTAAAGAAATAGTATATTTAAAATCAAATTCGTCACACAAAATGCTCTTTTAAAAGAGTAATAAATAGATTAGCAAAAAAGAAAAGAGTAATAAATAAAATGTTTTAAAAAAATTATAACAAAAATTAGAGCTTAGGAAAGGAATAAATACCGACTCCAAAGTCCAAAGTTATCGATTCGGTGGCAGTACATCCATACACAACCATCATACGTGTCGGTATCCAACATTCATAAAATGACATTACTAACCCCACATGACAAACGCTAAACACCCAAAGCCACGCGAAAACAGGGAAGGGCAATTAAGTAGTTTCACTATTCAGTGGTGGACACGAAGCAAAAAGTAAGGAGCGCTCAAATAAAAAATGCCAACGAGAAAAAGGCGAAGCACATTTCTGAATTTTCCAGGCTCTACCGCAATTATCATCTGAAAAGGAACAAAAAATAAAAAAAAATAAAAAAAATCCAATATTCCTTTTTTGAGGATCCGATTAACCCTCGGGATCTTCGCTCCGTAATCTGTAAGTCTTGATTTTGATTGTGAATTTAGTTTGTCGTGAAACGAATTAAGCATTTTTTTGGTTTGTTTGTTTTGTCGATTTTTATTTTTGGTTGAATTTGGTTCGTGGATGGTTAATCTTTAAGGAAACAACTTTGAATCTGTGTTTTTTTTTTTCGATTTTGACGAATTCTGTTGGCTTTTTTGACGTAGAGTTTGGAATTCAATTGGTTATATGTGGATCTTTCAATTGTTTTGTAGTAATGGAATTTAATTGCTTATTTTCTGTTCTCAAACATTGAATGATCTTAGAGAACAACAATTTCGATTTGGCGTAGCTTCCTACTACTTTAAGAAGAAGAACAAGGCTCAATTTTGTTAATTTGGATAAGTTGTGGAAGTTTAAATGTGGAATAATGTGATTTGTTGCTTGATTTTTGTGGTAAATGTGGGGTTTTTTGTGATGATAGAGGGGACATTGATGAGATAGAAGGACCGGTTTGAATTTTGTGATAGGAAGGATTGGAGAGCTTGTAGAGGGATGGCCTGCAGAGGATGCTTGGAATGTTTGTTAAAGCTTTTGAACTTCTTGTTGACCCTTGTGGGTCTGGCTATAGTGGGTTATGGGATCTACTTGCTGGTTGAGTACACAAAATCGACAGATGATACCGCTCCGCCCGTTGGTGACGATCATAACTCCATGCAACTCGGCCGGCCAATGCTTATGGCTGCGTCTATGTCGGCTGGCATCTTCGATAAATTGCCTAAAGCTTGGTATGGCTTTTGCCCATCTGACTTGATATTTGATAACTTTGCTTCTTCTTAGGATTTTCTAGTTAGGCATTTTTTTGTTGTCATTGTGAGGAAAGAGCCCCATTTTGTACCTATGTTGATCCTATTAATACTAATTGAGATCATCATCTTTTGCTATTGCTAGAAGCAACATAATTGGCTAATAGTATAACAGTAGATATATAGTCTCTAAAATTAAACCCATTTAGAAGAAGGTAAGTTTATGGGTGGCTAGGTAACTGCATTTAATGGTAAGTTTCGTTGCTGAAGGTAATGGGAATTTTAGTTATACCAGTTGATTCTCTGCAACTGCAAATGCTACTGATTTCTGACACCTTTCCTCGTTTGTCTTTGTACTTTTCAATCACTTTTTTCCCCCTTAAGAGCCCTTTTTTACTTACGTATGTACTGTTATTTCATGTAGCTACAATGTTAAATTGATATTCTGACACCTATATCATCTTTGAGATTCCTAATTGTTTGGCAACACTTGATGTTCAGGTTTATCTACTTATTTATTGGATTAGGGGCGATTCTCTTCGTCATCTCGTGTTTTGGTTGTGTTGGAGCTGTAACACGGAACGGCTGCTGCTTGAGTTGTGTATCCTAACTATTTTTTCCGTTCTGTGTCATATCTAGTACCAAAACATGTATTCTAGCCAGTACAAGATATTCTTTATAGCAGTGATGATGTCATAGTAATAGTCTAATACCATATAGCAGTGATGATGTCATAGTAATAGTCTAATACCACCGTGCACAGAATTCTTTGTGGTTTTGGTGTCTAATTCAATGCATGTGTTTCCATTTCATGTTTTTGTTGGTGGTAATAATTGGTTTCCTTAAGTCGAAGCAGTATTCAGTGTTGGTTATCCTGTTAATCTTGGCGGAGCTAGGATTTGCAGCCTTTATATTTTTTGACAAAACATGGGAAGACGTGAGTATTTTTTGGAAATTTTCCGAATTCTAAAATCATGTCTGTTCATTGTTCATTCAAAAAAAAAAAAAGAAAAGAAAAAAAGTCATACGTCTATCTGATCATTTCATAAGTATTTGTGCAGGAAATCCCCACTGACAAAACTGGTGACTTCGACATGGTATATGCTTTCCTGAAAGATCACTGGAAAATTGTTAGGTGGGTTGCTCTCGGAGCTGTTGTTTTTGAGGTAAGCATGAATTGATCTCTATTAGCATTTTCTCTTGTATCTAGTGCTTGGTTGAAATGCACTAATGATTTATTTTCTATTGTTATGACTTTGATTTATGAGATGCATTCAGTTTTCTGGAAAGTGATGTTTTTTTTTTTCTTTTTGGCATCATATTTATTCATTTTAGCGCTAGGCTCAAAACTACTAGGATTTGATACTGTTTATAAGATAGGACATTGCTAGGCAACTGCTCGTAAACTTGTTGATTGTGGAACCACATTTCTTGTTTCAAATGTTTCTGTGACTTGAATACTAAATCATCTTAACCTCTGGATTGAGGATTTTCTTATCATGTTTTAAGATGGAAGTAATTGACTAACTGTGATCTGAGCAATATTCGTTATTTCTTTATCAGACTTGTGGTTTTTAAATCTCCATCAAACTGATTTTACAAACTTTCAGGCTCTGCTTTTCTTGTTTGCACTTCTGGTTAAATCAGCAAACAGGCCAGCTGAGTATGACAGTGATGATGAGTTCATTGCTCCAAGGCAACAGATCCGGCAACCGTTGATCAACAGACAAGCAGCTCCTGCGACGGGCGTACCTGTCGCTGGCACCCTAGATCAGCGTCCAAGCAGAAATGATGCTTGGAGTACACGCATGAGGGAAAAGGTGATATAATCTAAAAAATTTTATGTTTATAAACAAATTTATTGGACATTTTTTAAATTTATCTTAAAAATGTTCTTGTATAGGTCAGTCATTGCAATAACAACGTCAAGACATAAGTTTCCTTTTAAAAGATACCTAATTTTTCACCATGAAGCAGTTGGGATTCCTCTAAACATTTTTCTGTTCATAAACAAGTTTATAGGACATTCCTAGGATTTATAACTAAACATGTTCTTGTATAGGCAGTCATTGCAATAATAGCGTAAAGACATAAGTTTCCTTTTGAAAGATAGAGAACTTTTCCATGAAGCAGTTGGGATTCTGTTTGACGGGTTCGATTTAGTTTTGCTAAAATGAACCTAAATTGTTCGTAGGTATAATTGTTCTGAAATATACGTACAAGTGAATTGATTTCAAGTTATTTAGTTTGTGGGCTATACTGTGACACACTTATCCGAAATAATCCCAATTGCATATTTGTTTGTTTATACTTGTATTGGATATATTATCGGATTATCCAATACAAGTATCCCCTGTATGGCCTTTTTGTAGTTCTAATGCTATTATTGTTGTTCTCATTGCATCTAAACCAGTATGGGCTCGATACGTCCGAGTTCACATACAATCCAAGTGAGTCTAACAGATTCCAGCAAGTTGCCCCACAACCAACTGAAGAAAGGAGCCGCTGCACCATCATGTGAGAACCTTAGATTTAACCAAGATTCTGATTTTGGGTTGGTGTCTAAAAGGCTGATCTCTTTAACCTTGGTGTATAACTTCACGTTTGTAAGAATCAACTTCATTCGAATTTGTGCACAACGCAAAATTTTCAGGGTCTTTGTTAATGTATTTGTGTGTGTATAATCGCGTTGTTACTTTAGTGGAGTCACTTTGGGCGTAGCTTGTTTTTGAGCATAGTTTTATTGACGAAGCTATGAAAAAACATCAGGTGCAATCTTGGGATGTAAACAACTTTTGGAGCGTGTTCACTTGGTTTTTGCTTTTATTTTTCATTATTATTTGCTTCGTGCTCAAAATTTCAAAGTGCTACAAAGGCAAAAATATGGTTTATGGTTTGATCATTTTTGGTTTCCATTTGAACGTGTTGAATTATTAATGACAATTAGTTCACTGCAATTCCATTCTTCTTTGATGTTTACTTCTCAGTGTTTACTACATAACGTGAGCCAAAAAAGAAGTCTAGTGAGAAATATATTCTTATGGTCTAGTATTATCGATGAAGTTTGAAATGAGTTTTTATTTTAAACAAAAGTTATTGATTCGCATCTTTCTAGTTAATATGTCATTATATTATGATTTTTCACTTGATTTTCTTTGAAAATTCTCTTATAATTTCTCTAGACAGGATTCCTTTTTTTTTTTTTTTTTTTTTGAGTTCTTGTTCCAGCAAAAATGGAGTTACAAATGTTTTCTACAAAAAGAAAACGAGAGAGTTGACAGTGTTCATAACACGGATACACGTGAATAATGATGACCTCTGATCGGTAGACTGGTTAAGCACTACGTAATTAATGACGGTAAGAAAAACGACAGAAATATTCAATTAACGAGTAGAAGGAAAAACAAATGTAAAAGATATTTTTCTTTTGCTGATGAAAAAAAAAAAATTTTAAACGACTAACTTTACAAACGACAAAAATTCAAGAGACGCTAGTCGCTAACAAATTGAAAAAATTGAAAGCACAACAACATTCAAAACAAAAAGGAAAACAGCAACAAAACTCGAACATACATCACTTAGAAAACGACAATTACTTGGAAAGGAAGATAAACTAAAAATTCGGTATGCATTAAAAAAGGAAAGAACAAGAAAAACTACAGCAGAGCCTTAAAATGATTAATAGAACTTAGTCATCTCAATGATCGTATGTGAGGACAACCTAAAGCACAAGAGATTGATAAAACGACATCTATCCAAAAGGACACTAACTCAAAAAACGACAACAGCCTAATACAGAGTGATTGGGAAAACGACAATAATTTTACAAATGCAGGATAAGTTTAAAATGGACAATACAGACACGAAAAGGGTCGACAAACTTCAAACGACAACGACAATTGCTGGGAAATAGACAGAAAAGTTTACAAACGATATATACACTAAAATGATAATTAATAAAAAATACACGATCCGAAAACAAGAAAGGGCCAGACGAAGAATTTTAGAAAACTAACCGTCCTACTGTGTTTATTCTTATAAAAATTTAAATTTCTATTCAAATTTGAGAGTTAGAATCATGTTGTCCTTGTCCGCACTAAGTTGCCCTTTTGGTGGGTTCATTTTCACTTTGCCTACTGGCTTTGGGTGGCATTTTCTTTAGTTAGATCTTACGTGAATCGCTAGTCGGTTCTAAACCAACCATGGACTTTCACACCAAGCCTGAACTCCATGCACTATCTTATGGGGAACATCTAACAGCTACATTTCATGCAACCCAATATAGCGATATATCATGAAAAAGGAGAGATATTTTGCGGGTTTAAACAAACCTTTATGTTACAGGCACGAGCGCACGAGCATTAAAAAAAAAAAAAAAAAAAAAAAAAAAAAAGATTTTTTTTAACCTTTTTTTTAAGGGGCAGGGGCCCCAGGAATAAAAAAAAAAAAAAAAAAAAAAAAAAAAAAAGATTTTCTTTTCAAATTTAGGAATCGCTGACTTGGCACTGGTTGATAGTGAAACTCTTCTCTGCTGTTATAACCGGTTAAGTAGGAGAGGGAAATTTGCCTGGGGAATTATGTATGCAAAGCTTTGGGAAGAAGAGTATTGAAAAAGAACGTAGAAATTGAGACGAGCAGAGAAAGAGAGATGAGAATATCTTGAAAGAATGAATTCTCATTAACTTGCATCAAAGCCATTGCAAGCCTTAACTAACAATGTTAAATTTAGTATCATATTTAACTAACAAGAATTTAAGAGCCCTGATGTAAATCTGATGTAAATCTCCTATCATCCATGTTAGATTGCCAATCCACAAGATCCGGATTAACTAACAAGTACTTCAGAGCCCTCTTTCATTTTGCATAAACTGACACTTTATTCACACAAGAAACTAACTCAATTCTTGTGATGCACGGTAACATACTCCAAAGCACCCGCACCACTTCTGTCGATGTGTGAGAGACTTGTGGGAGATTGTGACCTTGTGAATTTCGGAGATCTGTTATATATTTTCGTTGTGATTAACGAGAAAAAAAAAAAAAGTATCTCATGTGTTATATAACTTGTCGAATCACGTTAAATTTTGTATCTTCTTTTAATTATAGTTTTATTTTCTGCTTTGCAATTAGTAGTAGTACTAATTGCTTAGAGTAATTTTATGCTAAGTTTTGATTTAATACTTGTGCTATTTTTTTTCTGAGGCGTTCTTGGTGATCAATTTGTGATGAAAACTCCCAAATCCTAATAACTAGGGGCTTGTTCTTTTAGAATTTAACTTGAGTATAATTCTTGAGTTGAATTTGAGTTATAACTTGAGTTTGTATTTGGTTGTGTACATTTGAGTTATGGTTTGAGATAAGAATCTTTTTGAGTTTGTGTTTGAGTGAGTCAAAACTTGAATTTGTATTTAGATAGTATTTTAATAAAAACTCAATACTGATAAAAAATTTTAATAGGGTATATGAGTCGGGTTTTATTCGTCTTTTCGTTGTCAACGCATAGAAAAAAAAGCATCTCAATCAGACTTAAAATGAAAAAATTATAGCATTTTTAAGAATACTGATAACCCTTGTTTGGTTGATAAGGTGGGGAATCGGGAATTTCTTGGTGCTTTCGTTCACTTTGAATTTTCGTGCTTTTTTATTTTTTGTTTTTTAGTCTTGATTCCATGCTTAACTTTTGAAATCTTTGTGGGTATTTTTGGTACCACATGAAAGAGATAAATACCTAGCCATAAGCACATTTGAAAGGCATCTTATTTGATCTGATCCAAACTTTTTCTTTTTACCCTTTGAAAACACGATTTTTATCATAAAGATAATCCTTGGTGTACTTTTGGGTACCATATACCAAAAAAAAAAAAAAAAAAAGTTAAAAGACTTTAAAAGACATTTTATTGGATCTGATCTGATCAAGTTGCGTTTGTTTTATATTTTGGAATCTTGTAACCAATGAGATTTAGCATAAAGGTTGTGATTTCCTGTACTTTTCAGATCACATCAAGCCTTTTTTAGCAACTTGACTTTGAGAATCACAAAGAAAAACACGCTTCTAAAACCAAGTTGCGTGGACTTTTAGAGTCGTATTAATATAGGAGATTGTTTGAAAATCTCACCTAAGAAATAATACGAGACAAACGAACCGAAAATTGTTAGTAAATAGAAACTGAATTAAAAAAAAAATAGTATATTTTAAAATTATTTAAAATAAATAACAGTTTATTATTGTATAAATATTTTATTTACAATTGATAACATATAATTGTGTGGTAAAAAATTTTTATTTACGTAGAAAAAATCCTTTTATCAGTAATAAAAAGAAAATTTATGTAAATTTTTTTTTTATTAGTCGTAAATAAAATATTTATACTATAAACTGTTATTTACTTTAAATAGTCTACTATTTATTTAATTTATTTTCATAAATCTGTTATTTTCTACATTTTCTTTACGAGACACCTATCGAAGTGAATATGTATGGTCCTATCTCCACCATGCAATTAACTCAAATTAACTTTCTATATCTTTCTTGAAATAAAAGTATTCAAGCACATAATAATCGATGAACATTCTAGCTGGTTGAGAGAAAAAAAAAAGTTTTCATTTTCGTTTTTGTTTCCGTGTTTAAAAACGTGTACAATTACAAATACTACCAAAGGACACCAAAATCTCTGTGACACCAAACCCATTTTGGGATGCATTCCTACTTTTCTGCTTGGAGGGAGTTTATGCAAAAGGAGAGATTAAATTATATTTCGAACATTTAAGGTTCTCAAATATTTAACTGGTAGTCATTGTAAAAATAAATTATCGATAGTCTTTTACTCTTCAGCCGTTAAATTTGTATTAGAATCTGTTTATTCTACATTTTTTCTTTAATTTAATTTGATTTTGATTAGATTTAATGATAAAAAATTAAGTCTAGTAGTAGAGCGGACTACCTAATAAATTCTCAACTTTAAATATTTAAAATTTGCAAGTATATTTTTTTTTATTTTATGAAAAAGTATATTATCTTCAGGTTTGTAAGTATATCTTTTGTCATACGTACTCATGGTAATTTCGTTATTGTATCCATATACTTAATCCTTGACCGCTAGTAATGTTGTATGTCGAAAATATATGTATCGGAATAAAAGAAAAGGGGGGAAAAAAAGAAAAAATAAAAGAAGTAACTAGAGCCTATAGGCACAAGAGGTGACATATTCTTGAGATAAAAAATGAGAAACGCACGACTCAAAATGTCAAATGTGTTGTAGTGTACCCAATCAATTGAGATAAGGCCCATCTCCTTTTTTTTTTTTTAAGAAAATTGTTGAATTTATTTAAAGTGTTGATGAGTGAGTTTCACTCGCTTATTAAATATCATTTTACATTTAATATCTAGTTAATTTTTGAGGTTTTTGTTAGTTTTTATATGTGTTTTTGTGCTTTGTTTGAAGGTTAGGTAAAAATCTATGATTTGGAGGGTTTTGGATAGCTTTTAGTGAAAAAAGACAGGAAACACAGCATTTAAGCGCTAATTTGTAGCGTTTTGGTGCTGATTTTGAGGTTCCAGCACGTTTTGGACATAACTAGTAGAGTTTTGGCGCCCATGGGCAGGGCTCCAAAACTGATGTTGGCGTGCTGTTTTTGCACAGCCAGCGCTGCAACGCTAGGAGATCAGCGCCGCAACGCTATGACGTAAGAAAAGGACGTGTTTTGAAGGCAAATCTTTTAGAAACTTACCCATTTTTGTCCCAATGCTTCAAAACCTATAAATAGATGATTCTATGGCAATTAAAAGAGACTTTTTTGACGGCAGACTTTTGGGAGAAGATTCAAGAGGAGAAAGGAGAATTGGGTACGGAGAACAAC